CTGGTAGTACAGTTGTATCCAAGCATCTGATCATCACTGTAAGTAGTGTTTATTGAGTAGTACATTGATTACGATGATAAACATCCTAGAAATTAGAATGCGTATTATTCACCAAGACATGATGTGACTAGGAACTGTCCATTAGATATATAAAAATCACTCTCTATTATTTGTGTCCGTGATGAAAAATATTCATAAATTGACCATTTGTCTTTCATATCTGGTTAGATCGACATGCGAGTTAATCTCCCGAATGTCAATAAGCCTAGTGGTAAGAAGATTTCTCAGTCTTGGGTACGGTTCCCAATAAGTTCAAATTCAACATTATCAGTGAAATAAACAGGTAATGTAACTGACATATTTAATTATAATAAAGATCGCAATAATTATGAATGTTTCTGATTTCAATCATGTACAAATTTCAATATAAAAAATTTTATTAACTCGGCATCACCAGTGCTATTATACAGCAACAAATCGGTATTTTATTCATCGCAGTCTCTTCTTCTTTACTCTTTGCTTTGATGAAGATTATGAAGATTGTGACTATGAAGATTAGGATGATGATGACGATAATTTAATCGTCCAAATGAAAGCATTCAACCTGAAAGGTACTTGAAATACATGTTTTTTTAGATGGGACAAGAGTCACAAGATTCATAGACTACACAACCTGAAGTTGGTCAACTTGGTTTAACTTTGGGTTACTCAAGCTGGGTTTGTATCAACCTTGTAAGGTTAACAGCTATTAGGCCAAGGGTTTGTATAATTATAGTAAACGATGAGAATAAGGAAAGTTGAGAATAGTTTCAATCAGAGAAGAAGATGAAAAGAAAGAAAAGGTGGGAAGAAAAGAGAGAAATTTGTTCATCTTCTTTGTTTCAATTTTTTTTGGAAGAAAAAGTAAACTTTATTCCAATAACAATTTTATGATAATTTTGAGGAAGAAAAGAGTTTCCAATGAAAAGTAAATGGGAAAATTATATTTGATTTGAACTCACATTGAAAGCATTTTTTTACCTGAAATAAAATAACAATATAATAAACTAACGTCACAGTAAAACAAGTTATTATGTGAAGGTAAAAATGAAACGATAAGAAATTGTTGAATGTTTTTTTTCTCGTTTTTTTGTTCATTATCGACAATCGTTCAATTATTATGATATTTAGGTAAACAGTAATGATGATGACGATCAAGACAAATATTGACTCTTGTCATCCAAAGTTGAATATTAACTTTGAATATTAACTTTCAGAGTTTATCAATTTTCGCATTTCTAGCCTTTACCTTTTACTTTTTGATGATTTCACTTTTGGCGTTTCACAAATATGAATGTCAATGATGTTAATTGTTGATTGACACTTACCTTGCAATTGGTTACATCAATAACAAGCCATGTTAATAAAACTATTTCTTCCTCATCCGAACCAAGATCACCTTCATCAAGTCCAGAAGTGACAACATAAACAACAACAAGATATTTGGTTGTGGTTGGTGTTGTTGACATTTTACCCTTTAACCTGTTGATTTGATGGTGTTAATGATAGAGGTGAGAGTGATGATGGTTTTTGATGGTAAAGTCAAATGGTGGTGAAAAAATGATGCTAATAATGGGTTGAAATGAGTTTGATGTTGCTTTCTGGTTGAGAAGAGGAAACACAAACAAAAACAAATGCTGGTTCACCAAATTAAATTATGATTGATCGGCTCAATTGGTAAACTTGACACTCTTGATAATTGGTCATAATTAATGTCCACTGTATTAAAATTCACAGACAAAATGTTGAGGTAAACGTTAAAAGATGAGAAAACGTAAAATATTAAAATGCTGTTGATGGATTGGATAAAAAAAGTTGCGTCTAGGGCAACAAATGTGGTAATATTGTAGACACTTTTTTGTTGTTGATGAGTTTTGATCAATTTTTGATGATTGTTTGGTGATGGTTGATGATAGTTACAGTGTGAATTATGGTTGGTGTTAATGTAATGGTGATGGTGTTGATTCAAGGTTGATTGTTGTGTTTTATTGTTGTTTATTGTTTATTTGGTGTAATACAATTTTACCGATTTGAAGGTATCAATGAAGACAATCAAACAACAACAAGAAAAGGCAAGAGACTCAGAAAGGTAAGTAGAAAGGGAAGGAAAGAGAGAGAGAGAGAGAGAGAGAAAAGAAGAAGAAAGAAATAAGTTAAAAGAAAGAAAAAGTTGCAAGAGAAGAGAAAAGTAAAGAGAGAAAATTTAGACAGAGAAGAGATGAAAGACAGTCTGATTATGGGAAGAAACAGGCTGAATATCATCTGATGAAAAAATCCCTTTCTTGGGATCATCTGTTGATGACGAGAGACAAGAAGAAGAAAGGTAAAAGAGAGAGAAAGAGAGAGAAGATGAAGGAAGATTGGAAGATGATGGCGATGATATAAAAAAAGACTCAGAGAGAGAGAATGAGAAAAAGGCAAAAATTGTTATCTGACAAATGAAACTATGAATGGGAGAGTAACGAAGGAAGAAGAAGAAGATAAACAGGTAAAGAGGGGGAAACGGGAAGGTGTTTAGGTGGGCGAGTGAGAACAGGTTGAGCTAGTAAGACAGGTAAGAGATGAAGAAAATTTCACTTTCATTGTTGATTATGATTACCAATTGAATTGATATGTTATCCTGTGGAGTCCATTAGATGTTGAGTTTGCGCTACAAATTTGTTGTCTAATTTAAACTAAATTAAAATTAACTTTGGATGAATTTCATCTTTTAAACAATTTATTAATTTGTAAACAATATTTTAATCGAAATTTTTTCTCGCTTTTTATCAATTTTTTATAAAATAATTAGGATCAACGCCATCTGTTGTACTTTATTTTAGTATTTGCACCATTTTCATGAGAATTTTGATTTTAAGCCGTTTGACAAGTTTTTTTATTTTGTTTGCTTTTAGTGCTTATTATCTAGTAATTTGATTTGGGATTTTGACTGTTTACAATTAAGATATTATTAATGATTGAACTTGTAATGTTAATTGGTTATGTATCAACTTATTTCGCTGTCGCTAGTCAAGAAAAAATGGTCGCAATTTTTGCTGTTGCCTTTCTTTTTTGTTTTGTTTTGTCATACTGTTGCCTGTTTAATTTGTGATTCAAAAAAAACCTTGGATTGAATTGTGATCAAGATAAGATGATGATTTATCGGATTTTACTGTGAAGAGATTTATTGTTAATCTGATTAGTTTACTTGGCGATTAACCTTGACTTGTTAAATAATTGTTACTTCAGATTGAGTAAAGTACATTGTATTAATAAATGGGTAACAGTCTCGATCTGAGGACAGAGGAGGGGCTTTCACACCTGTTTCAAAGACATTTAAATTATTATCCAATAGCTGATGTCTCTTTGAATGCTGAGAATAGAATGGTGTTACACAAATTAAAATTCAATTCAATTAATTGTTAAATTAAATGTTAAAATATAATAAAACCAAACACAGATGAGTTGAGAGTATTGCCTGGTTAGCCGATATCGTCTGACTTATTGTTTCCTTTCCTTTAGTTTGATTTGATTAGTATGAATTCAAATTTTTAGTTTTTCAATGCTTTAAAACTAAGAAATTTTGTTCCTAAGTTCGAACAATTAAATGAGGAACATCCAGGAGTCAATTTTGCTAAACACCTTAATTTAATTCCACGGTTAATGAACAGTAGACTAAACTAAAAATATTTTGTTTACTTAATTATGTTTTCAATTCAATGCCATTGGTTAAAAAAAGTGTGGAATATAAGACATATGTAAAAGCTCAACCTTTGTCCTCAGATCGAGACTGTTACCAATAAATGTACCCGTAAACTTCCTTTGGATCAATATACTTCATGGGTTTCCCTTTGAAACTATATATTGTAAGCTGTACATAAGATACAAGTTGGTGTTGGATGAAAAAGCAAACATGTTCAACCCTTTTTCCGTTGAATTATAATTGATTGATGAAGAGACAAGCCAAAGACGATTTGACCAAGTTATACAAAGGAAACACAATGAGTCAAGTCAACAAAGCTGATTTCCCAAGCTGCATGTTAAGCGCAAGCAAAAAAAAACGTTACCATTTTTGCTGATTCAAACACTTGACTCTACCTTAACAATTATGATTTTAATTTACAATTGATAAGAAATGTTTAAAGCACGGACAAACAATTTACCCGCAACTATTAAACCGAATCCCATTTTTATTAATAGTCAACCTTTTCCTTGGTGATATTTAGCCATTTTTTGTCAATAACAATTTCACTTTCACGCTGCTCTTAACGCCCTTAGGCTTTAAGGTCAATATTCCCAAATTGTTTACTAGCTAATGCTTCTAATTATCATCTTGATATACACATAATTGACAATTTATCACTGGAATTGAGAAATTATTCAATATGAAAAGCGTTGTTTGACTGGCAATTTCAGCACCAGACTACAAATGGCGGTTGAAAGATTTGAAAATCTTAATAGATTACATCGATTAATGGACAGACAGATTCACAATGAGTGGTGATAAATGAAAAATTGGATAAAGTTCATAGTCTATCATTTGCTGAGCAAATCAATTGGAACAATAAATGATTTAAGAGACAATCAAAGGTACAAACAAAAACATGGTTAACATTACAGTCGATTGAATCAAATGATTATTTCATTTTTTTCTCTATGCCTTACTGACAATTAAGCTAACCTTTACGTTTGAACCAGTAAATTGAAAAGGTTAACATAATTCGCCAATCACAGTCACTCAATTGAGGTAAACTTCAATTTACACTGAATAAATATACAATTAATAAGCCCTTTGAACATTAACAATATCCAACGATTGATGAATGAAAATAAAGAAAAGATAATTTTATAGCCATTTTCAAATGCTATTAATAAAGGAAAGATGATGAACATTTGTATTGATAAAAATATAATTTTGTGTCTCCATGCTAATGATAATTTACATGTAATCTTTTCAATAATTATAATGAAAAGGTTAAATGATTTTCATGTTTTCTTGCTTCCCTCCATTTTTCATCATTACATTGCAACTCAAGCAAAAAACATCATTATTATAATTGTATTGAGGCTTAATCGTTTTTCAATTTGCTCTCCATTATTATCAACCAAGCCACTTGGGATGAAATAATTAATAAATTGTGCTAGCTGATCAACAGCAACAAGCAGCAATTGTGTAACACTTGGTAATAGCAAATGTTAATGGGAAAAGAAAAGGCAAAGGCCTGAGAAAAGTGTGGATCGCTTGGTGAAAATGTCTTTACTGGGTCCTTGGCTTTGTCATCTTGGTCTGTCTAGTCTTCATCTTGGCTGTAATGTCCATTAGACGCAACCATTATAGTGACCATTTCCAGAGAGATCATGAGTCAGGTCAACTCCATTGGGTGAACATTTGTACATGTAAATCGGTTTGGCCTTAAGCACAAGTCTGGTATAAATCATGAGTTTAGCCATATTGGAAGGGCATCAAGATTGATTGTACAGCCTAAATGGACAATTACGTCTTGGCCTGACCTGAGGATGAAATTTAGCTTGAATTAATATCATGTTTAACAAAATGGTTTCAATGTGAGTAAAGTCTGCTAGGATTAGATATGTTAATGTTTAATAAATTCACTTGTCATAATTTTTCTTTCCTCTCAACTTGTTGTATCCTTGCACTCTAACCAAACACTTTTTTCAAACTTACCTTTTTTCAGTGGTTTAATCATTGATTTTAAAGCATCATTTAAACTTTACAACGGCCTTGAGGGTATCTTCTGAATCATCCTTTTGGCTTTTTTTGCTTCATCTTCTGCTTCATCTTCTGCTTCATCTTCTGCTTCATCTTCTGCTCCTTCTTCTGTTGCTTCTTTCCAGCCATTCTTATCTTTCACATGTTCATGCTGAGACTCACACAGGTATGACCAGATTCTTTCAGCTTGTTTCTGGAATTCCGTTCTTGTACAAGATTAATTGGGCAAAAGAGGCATGTAAAGGGTCACCAGTTTGATATGATATCTGCAAACATTATTTTCACCATTATTAAATTAAATGTAAATATTGTAAATTTTCAAGGATGAACTTGGCTAAGAGATTGAAATGTACTTACGTTGTTGTTGTTGTTCAAGTTAATCATGAGATGAGAGTGATGATGATCGCTTCAAGATAGTATTGTTGAGAGTAAAACTCTTTTGGGTATTTTTCACCACTTTACTGTCGTGCCAGTTTAAAGCGAATCTTGTTAAAGTGAAAAAAAATCTGAGATCAGCAATGAAAAATATCATCTTTTCATTTGATTTAAAGCTTAATGTTGAAATAATTTTGTAAAAAAAGGCTTCTATAGTGAATAAAAGAAACATTTTTACTTGCATTTGAACTATTAATAATAGGTTAGTTTACAGCTTAACAGCTGTAGAGTCAAATCTTTCAAGAACGTGATAAAAACTGATTTTCTAACGGTAAGAAGTATTGTGAGAATTTGAATTTGAACATTTAGAGCTAAATATTAAAGTTTATGTTGGACAAGATACAATGAAATTTAGATTAATACAGTGTGTTTTAGCCAAAGAGTAATAATTACTCTTTGGTTTTAGCAATCAAAGAGATCGATTAAATTTAACATTATCAATGGATCGTCCACTTTTATCAGGTAGAAATGCACTGAATCAAATTCCTTATTTTGTTTTCCTCATTGTTCAAGCTCACTATTCAATCAATCTTGTGTCAATTGTTTTTAAACACGAAACAAATCAAAGATTTTTCTGTTAATTTAAATTGAATTAAAAGCGAAACCACCATTGAAAAAGTAACGCCATCTGATGTGCATGGTTATAACTAAATTTGGTAAATCAACCTGTTAAATCGGTGAATCAATTTAGCTGTAACATTTGCTTTTTGTTTTAACCTTTCATTAATTGTTACAATAATAATAGCTGGTAAAAAGCCTCAAGTTCTGCTAATTAATTGCCTCATAATTTCATTGTTCCTTGAGAGTTCATTTTTTGCCATGTTAACACTTTCTTTCTAACCACTTTATTGGTTAACTAATTTTCAATGATACCATTCCGAGCTCCAGGATTTTAATTGATTAAATTTATGACGGATTATATTTTAAAAGATTTTCTTTGAATTGATACTCAAAAATAGACAACACTTAAACTAAAACTGCACAAAGACCAGCAATAACAGTTACAGTTGTATTAACAGTTAGTACAGCAATTTGAAGCCGGGTCAATTCTTAGTCTTGAGATAATGGTTGAAGCTCTTTTAATTACAATTTTTATACCCATTCTAAGGCTTGTTGATGAAAATTAATGACCATGGTTGGTGATAATGATATCCACAATGTTAGATTGAGTTTATATAACACGGAATTGTAATCATCTGTATTACAATAATAATTATCCAACAATCCAATATTATAAGATCGATGTTAAAAGACTTCCTTGATCCAAGACTGGCTGAGGTTTAAATTGAAATTAGCTGGATTACACAACTGATTACTTGGATAATTAACTAGAAAAAGATGTAAAAGATCAAAGATTAAAGCATAAGATACAGCAATTGAGAGGTACTGATGTTAGTAAGGGACAATGCCCACCTCAAGCGCTAGTTGTCGCATTTTTACTGTGATTTACCTTTAATTTTAATCTTTCATTTTTTTGTAAAAAAATTAAAAATAGTTTTCCCATTCAATTTGATCAAAATTTTTCTGTGGTGCCCTCCAGTGGGCATTGTCCCTTCAGGTTCTCTGTACCTCTTTACTGCAGTATCTTATACATTAATCTTTGTAAAAGATACACACAAAAAGATAAACGATTTGAAAGAACCATTTGATTGAATAAAGTTTCAGACATTAACGGATAAAAATAAAAAAAAGTAAAGTGTAAACAAGCAGTAAAGAAACGCCATCTATTGAGCTGTAGATTATATGAGAATATTGATCATTCCCAGTTTGACTGGGAAGCAAAGGAAAGATTATCTTTACTATTATTATTATTATTTGGGTGAATTTTGTTTTCCAACAAATGAACACGGATGCTGCTCATTGATGACCTCGAATATATATTTAAGGTCGGTTTTGTATTCCTCATTTTCTTCTTTTTCTCCTTCTTCCAATCTCTTATTTATTATTAGCAGGACAAGAAGAAGGGAAGAAACATTTTCATTTTAGTTTCATCTTTTATTTTTTGTTTTTTATTTACACCTTATCCTTACAGTTTAACCATCAACATAACACACCATCGACATTGAAAGGACAAACCGAAAAGACAGAAACCAGATTGTTTAAAAGTGTATTAACAGTGTTGTTTACCAACATCAATATGAAACAAGCCATACAATTGTGTTCACTTTTAACCAAACCCTTCAACACCAGTGTTAACCAGTTTCCATAATGTTGGTGTCAAGTGTTTAGAGTTAAGCCTAAGGAATAAGAATCGGTTTAATCCATGGGAAACATCTTGTTGTGACCAGAAAATAAAAAATGTCATCTAACCTGAAAAGGTATCACCAAAAAGGAGTCAACGTGAACAACAACAATAACAAGACCAATTGAAAGGGAAAAGGACAACAATCAGTGAATGACAATTATTAGGTTATCTTTAAATTATCAAGTGTCTCCCATCCTAACGCTTGATATAATTTCATTTTGTTAACCATAATAACACAATTGTCAGCCAAGCAGCCAAAGTCAGAGTAAGAAAAAAAGGTTAACCAGAAAATAATTGATTATGGTGAATGTTTCAACACTAACCAGGAGTAAAGCATTTTTTCATTGCCATCCTCATCTCAAGGAAAAACTGGTTAATCCGTGATTCTTATTTGTTTACAATCATCAGGACCAGCATCATTTTCTTGTCATCATTATTTTTCCTAACAAACCATCAATCAAATCGATTGGTTAATCTTTTTAATCAGCCAAACCAAAGCAAAGCGTAACCAAACAGCAAACAAAATAAGTATTTTTCTTCCATAATAGTTAAGTTCATATTGTTCCAATTGCCTCCAAAAAAATCAGCCCGAAATCGTCAAAATTAAGTGTCATTAGGTTTACTAAGCATCACTCATTAATCCATTTTAATCAACATATAACGTACATGTGTTAATCAAGTGCAAGTAATATGTCCTCAACACGAGAAACCAATGCTCGAGAGGAGAGAGATCTTCACCATTACCAATATGTTGGACCTTACAGACTTGAAAAGACTCTGGGTAAAGGTCAAACAGGTAAGTCAAACATCTATCTAATGAAGCTGATTACCAGACTAACCCAATAACTTGACCTGATAATAGGTTTGGTTAAACTTGGTGTTCACTGTGTTACCGGTAAAAAAGTTGCTGTTAAAATAATCAATCGTGAAAAACTCTCAGAATCAGTTTTACAAAAGGTAAGTCCATCTCCATAATGATTATTAATTTATCCTAATAACCAGAAAAAACCCAATAAAAGTGAAGTAAAAACAAAAACCCAAAACATCCAAAACAAGAAACCTAAATGTTGGCAAAAAACAGTAAAGCAAAAACCCAAAACCCAAACAATCTGTTAACACTTTTACTTCAACCTCCAAGAACTATTATTACCATTTATTAACAATTGATTGAATAAAGTGTCGATGAAATTTTGAACCCTTCAAAATTGAAATATCGATGATGTTGGCCGATGAAAACAAACAAACAAGGAAAGATTAAAATGTATTTACTGAATGGAGAAGAAAAATTTGATGAACATTAGCAATGATGAAGAGGAAAGAAACGTCATCCAGTTGGGAATTGATATGATCAAGATTTATTAGATTGAAGGGGAATGAAAGATAATATAAAAAGGTCCATATTTACCCTGAAAGACGTAACAACATTCAGTTATCTTCTTATTTCTTTATTTTTGCCTGTTAACCAGTTTTAGGAATCCGTCAAAATAATTCTCATCTTCTTCTTTTTCCTTCTTCTTCTCTCTTCATCTATTCCGTTGTTATTTTGCCAATCGATTCTATCGATCGTTGACGAAACGAATCAAGTAACTTAGTTTCAACATTATCTAGATCTTACAGTTTCTCACCCAATTTCATCATCATTTCTCATCTTTTCATCCATCTTATAAGCAATCTCATTGTAAACGTCCTTCAACATGAACAGACAGTAAAACCTGCAACCCTTTACATGAACACCATCCCGTTGTAACTCAAACCAGTTTCCCATGTTAACTCTGAATATTAAATCTTTCAATACTCATGTCCACTGAATTTGTCATCTTTCTCCTTTTTTCTGTCTATTTTCTTCTTCACCATTATATTTCATTCCTTTTCATTATTAATAACATTGAATAGCCAATGAACAACATTAGGCCTTAAAAGTAGATGTCAGTGTAAATTGATTCATCAACCTTGTTGACCACTTGATAATTATTTTGTCCAACAGTGTCAATCATCATTAGATCAAAGATCAACATGCTTCATTATTTTCATTTCAACAGCCAACTTGAATCCAATTTACAATCAACTCTACAAACATTCACTTCTATTAATAATGTATCTATAATAATGAGATATTAACGAAAATTTGCCTTATTTCATTACAATTTCATTTCAAATTTAATTTACTTTTCACATTGAAAAATCAAGATTCATTATGAAAAACATTTCCAAGTGAAGCAAAACAATCGCGAGAAGATGACATTTTATTAAAATTTGATAAATAATATGATTTCACTCAACTTGTGTTGATTTTTTTTCAAGACTTCTCAAGCATCTCTAATAGCAAGTGAATAGTTGATCAACGTTGAAGGGTTGCTTTACATAAATTTCAATTGATTAAATAAAAAGCTCTTCAATGTTGTTTGATATTTAAATCAACATTATTATTGACTCTATTAAATTTCGCAAAATTGAGATCAAGAGCTGTTTTCAATTATCACAATGTGAACTGGTTGCAATCCAAGACTAAATAATCCTCGAAATTGATCAACCTTTAATTGGCCTGATTATTCTTGATTTTTACAGGAATGTTTCATTGCGATTTTGCGCCTTTTCAATAAAAATTGATTGTGTTCAAATTTTCCAATTACCATTGTTAGTCTTGGGTTTGTTTGGCTTGTTCAGGTTAACGTTAGTTCATTCAACTTTTCATTTTATCCACAATTGGTATTTACTTGAGCCTCTTGTTTCTGCTGCTTCAGTTATCATTGCCAATCGAGTTCTCTGACAATTAAGAATTATCCAAGTCGATGAAAGATTTGAACACTGTTCAGCAAGTTGGAGTCACGCAATCTCTGAATCATTTATATTCATCATCTTAATCATTACAAATCGTCAAATCTATTGTTGGATGTCCATCATGGGAATGACAAGTTGACTTGAATCATGTTCATTAAATAAGTAGTGATTTATCAATTCCATGAGGTTAACTTGAAGTTTAACGAAACATTTCTCTGAATGCCATCGAACACGATTAATGTTGCCAAATTAAATTAATCAATACATCTGAATGTTAATGTTTTTGATGTTTGGTCTTTGTTCAATCTTTGCTTGGTTATCCATCACTGATTGGTGTTTCGCTGAGCCAAATCGTTAAATTTAACAGTAAATTGTTGAAATTGAATTGCTAATCATTTTCCTTTTTGTTTCCTTCTCTTTCCAGGTTGAACGTGAAATTGCAATAATGAAACTAATTGAGCATCCTCATGTTCTTGGTTTATATGATGTTTATGAAAACAAAAAATATTTGTAAGTTATTATTATAACAGGGAAAATAACCTAAAGAAGAAGAAAAAACAATAATTTAGCAAAAAATGAAGTAAATCAATATCAATATGTTTATACATTGTGATTATAATCAAGTTAATGGTGATAGAAAACTTAACGATAATAACTGTTTCCACAATAAATCAATAGATTAAGATAATCTTGCGTTTAATTGAATGATTAAACGCTGTTGGCCCTTGTTTCGGTACATCAGGTAAAACCTCCAAAAATTTGTCCATTACTGATTACTTTGGGAGTCTTTGCAATGTTTTTTGTTGTTCCTTGCCTTGATTTCATATTATGCCTTTATCTTTATTTTCATTCTCATTTCCTTGTTCATTATTTTCAGCTATTTTCATGAGAAAGATTTTAACCAACTTAAGGTAATGTGTATTTAGATTGTGTTGAAGCTATTTACCAAACATTATTAAAGTCATTCGATAGCGTGATTACCGGATATTAGAGGTTAAATGGGTAAAAGATGAGAGTCAACTAAAGCCAATCATGGTCAAAAATAATGGTGAAAAATACATTTCCCATGTTTGAGTTGAATGTACACATAATCAGCAGGTTCAATATGAAATCAAATTTGGTGAATCCAAATGTTTACCAAATGTATTTATTCAAAATGGGTAAATCTCATTTAATCTGTTGAGACGATTTAATAAAAATTTTCTCCTCCATTGTATGTTGACTTGTATATTTTTTTGCAGTCAGAGTTGAATGTCTTTTTTTTCTTGTTGTAACCATTATTATTATTATTGGCTGTGTTTACTTTTGCTCCTTCATGATTGATAGCGAGGATGACGTTGTTGAAGAGTTTCAACATTTCAATATTAACTGTAAATTAATTCTTACAGTTCATTCAAGATTTGTTGACAGTTATCACAGTTTTGTTTACTTTCCTATCCATGTGTATACATTTATGTCTTGACTTTAGTTAGACAATGATAGAAACATTATTTTAACTGATTGCCTTTTTGCTTGTCTTTGCTTGTCCCCTGGATTTTGTACCTCATTTTACTTTGGTTGGACTTTACTTTGATTGATTTGACTCTTTTGCTTTATCTTTTTGTTGGTTTTGGTGTGCGTGTATGTGAGCGTTCAGGTTTATCCGTTTATTGCCATTCAATTTTCTATCATTAACTTGACCAAGATTAATGATGAAATACGACATGTTAACCACACAGAAAGCAATGCTGCATGCTTGTACTGAAAAGAATGGAAAAGGAAATGTGAGTTTCAAAACAAATGATCATCAAAACAAACCTTTAACCCTTTGAACTTTTCAATAGACATTTCATTCGATTAGCATATTTATTCACGAGCAGCTTATTGAGATAGATATTTAACCAACCCTAGAAAAAAAGAAGAGAAAGAATTATTTTCAGAAATGAATAAAGAATATCTGATTCTTGGTTTTTAATATTCTGAGTTTTTAATACTTACTTAACGGTTGAATGTAAGATAAAAACATTACATTAATCAGGGCAAGAAATTGAAGAAACTCTTGAGAATTAACCCATTCAGAGAGTCAGATTACTTGATAGAAGCTATAAATAGATTTTGACTGGCCAACTCAAGTTCCCAAATCTTGCGAGGTGTAGATAAGATTGAACAGGAATTTAAGAGAGTTGGGTGAAAGGCTACTTGGGTATCCAGAAATTAGTAACAATATTATGGTCAAATAAGAGTTCAACTTATCGTTAAGATGGAAATTGATAGTCGAGCCAAATATTTTATATCAAAATAGGAAATCAAGTCATAAAACTGGTAAATCGGTAAGATTACATCAGCTGACAGAGTTTGACTCATCAATGGATGAGACAAATTTTGGAAAGACCAAGTAATTCCTGATTCAACATTAGCCAGTGTAATTCAAGAGGAAAGAGTATTTGCCAGTGTAGATGATCCAAGAAAATAATTTATGGCACAAACAAACATCAATTAATCACTTTGATACTTCCATTGGTTCCAAATAATGAAGCTTGTTACTCCATCCAATTAGCCAATTCAGAATCCTTAAGATGTTCAACTCACATGTTGTAGATGTAAAATTAGTTTCACTAGTTAATCACATTTAATTACAATTATAACTTACATGAATAAGAAAAAAAATGAATCAAAAACCAAATCCATTGAACAGTAAACTGCAACCAAAAGATCGCTTTCCAGTATCCATTACATAACAAAGATTGTACCAGAAGATATAAAACGAACAGAAGTATCTAGATTTATTTCAACCAGAAATACCACACCTTTGAATACCCTGATAGTTGGTGAATACCATGATAATCAGAATCAAATTAAACATAAGTAGAAAATTAATTATTATCAAGACGAGTGTAATAGATGAGTAAACATGAAAATAAATGCTTTCATTAATTTCACACTTCAACAAAAGGGGCGCGATTATGCAAACAAAGGGTTAGGGAAAATCTTCTAATTATGTCTGTGACTTCAAGAAATTTAATCCATTTTAAAATTTATTTCTAATTCTATTAACAAATTGTTATCTATTGTAACTGATCAACATAATCATAAACTACAATTAATACAACATCTATTAATTATATTTTTTCTTATTTAATCACTAATGGCAAATTTACCGTAATTACAAAGGTCTTCAAGGCAAAGTGTCTTCCATTGCCAATCTCAATCATCACACTTCTTTGGTTTCTACCATTTTGTTTACTTCTTTTAACCAACTAATTAACTCTTTTTATTTCTTTTTTTCTCTTTTTTAATCACTAATATCACATGGAATCAAGGTATCTTATATTGGAACATGTATCTGGTGGAGAGCTTTTTGATTATCTTGTTAAAAAAGGTCGCCTTACACCCAAAGAGGCTCGAAGATTTTTCCGTCAAATTATTTCTGCTCTTGATTTTTGCCACAGTCATTCTATATGGTAAGTAGCTAGCAAAAAAAACAAAACCCTTAATTATCCCTAATCACCCAAACCCTACTAATAATCCTAAATCATCATCCAAATTAACCTAATACCAACATCTTATCCTTACCCAAAACCCAAAATGTAAAAATCATTTACCAATCTAACCTCTGTGTCTCTATACATTGTTTTAACCAGCCATCGTGACTTAAAACCTGAAAATTTATTGTTGGATGAGAAAAATAATATACGAATTGCTGATTTTGGAATGGCTTCCCTTCAAATTGAAGGAAGTATGCTCGAAACCTCTTGCGGATCACCACATTATGCTTGTCCAGAGGTTATCAGGGTAAGAATTGACCATTCAATTAACCCAAACCCAGAGCCAGTCCAAAAAACAACCAACTCTAATTTACTCTTTACTAATGTTGTACTTTCCAATGATTCCGGTTAACATATACAATTTACTTGCCTCTCTCTAATCAACTAATCAAGCAAACGGCGTAAAACTAATTCTACTTGTCTTCCTCCAACAGCAATTCAATTTAAATTCAACTCTGGCAAGTCAAAAAAAGAGGTTCAAAAAAAGGAGAACAGAATAATTTTATTCTTGTATCTCTTTACACTGAATAATTCAACAACTCTAATAGAATCAAAAATGAAAGAAAAGCTCTGAATCTTAAAAACCAGAATATTTTTTGACGAAAATTTTCACACCAGAAACAGTGAAAGTCTGTAAATTAAACAATTATAAAAGGCAAATCAGAACAATTAGCAAAATTAAAGTCTTCCATGCTCATCACCATTCCAGCCCAGTTGAAACCTAAATCGATACAATTGTCAGGTCACTAACTTTACCAACTATCATTGAGATTAATAATTCAGTGAAACAATCTTCCTTTGAATCATTCAATGGAATCATGAATATGATATTCGAAAAAAAACAGTTTCCTGCAAAAATATGAAATCGATTTTTGAGAAGAAGAAAAATGTTGAAAACAAAACATTGAATAATTATCCCATTCTGGTGTTCAGATAATTACATCGTTTTTTCACAACACAATCAAAACTTTTGGGTCAAAATTTTTTTCACCCAAAAAAACAGAGAAAAGAAATTATTGTTGAAAAGAAAAATGTTTTTCCTCCTGAATTACCTTTCTTTCTTTTCCAGAATTCTTCAACTTGTGAACATGAAAATTGTTTCATAAGTTTCAACAACCATAACCATGGTAAAATGAAAATCTTGGAACCAGAAAAGGTTTTCATTATCAAATTGTTGCCCGTTAAACTGAACGTGATTTGAGTTTACAATTTTTTCCTCTCTTCCATTTCACTTTCATTTCTTTACTTCGCTGTGAAACTATCATTATCAGTTGAAAATGAATCTCATGTTCATCTCTTGTTCATCAAAATGAACAACACAATCAACTTTTGTCCAATTAATCAATTGAAGTTAATTAATTTATCACACAAATTGCAACCCAAAATAAAGGTTAACAAAAGTCAAGAAAAGAACACAAAAGCAAAAAACTTTTATATCGAACCATAAATGAAGTTCGAACCAAAACTCGCAAGAAACAAAAAACCCAAAGATTCCAGTTTTTCGAATATCCATTTTTTTGTTAAAAAATTTTCAACCTGAACAAGCATGAACTTCAGTAAATATCTCAAACTCGAATCTCAACTTAACTTAACTTAACCTAACTTAACCTAAAGACTCGAAAAAATCAAAAGTCGAAAATTCTAAATCAATGATCGCTTAGAAAACCTGAATTTTAAAAACAATTAATAGACAAACTGGAAAAGATAAGATAATACTTCGAGTCTGAAATCAGGTGGAAAAGTTTACTTGAGATGAAATCGAAAAGGGAATTTCTTTTTTTTAAAATCGAAAATTCTGAAATTCCAAAGTCGTGACCATTGAATTTATCATTGCAATGACCAAAGACTGAAAGTTCTTGAGACCTTGAAATATATTCGTATTTTGATTCGAAATTTCGTTTGGAAAAAACTCGTTTCTCTATTTTTATCTTTCGTTTCCATCTTCGGATATTGAATGAAAGCTTTTTCCTGGCGATTATCATCTTTTCAATTAGACTTGTATTTTAATTGTCTTTTAATCAACCCTTTTTTGTTCAATTCATGAAGTCTTTCCAAGTGTTTATTATCATGATTATAAATGATAATATTGTTATCTCTTTTGAAACTCATTGTATTCATGGTTGATCATCAGGGAGTGAACAGAAGAAGCAAGATTAACATTTTCACTTTACAACTGAAAACCATTGTCAACTTGCAATTGATTAACATTTTATCAGATAAAGATAATTAACTTAATTCTGTTGTTTTGCCTTCATTGTTTCCCTTCTTACCCAACATTCAATTAAAGACAATTTATTAATTGTCCATTAATTTAGTTAACTGTAAGTTGAACGACTTCATCATTTCAATTTTATGGTCAAATCTTGGTTCAACTTTTGGATAAAGTTTTTCATGCTTTTTATGGCAACCTTTAAATGATGGTTTATCATCATTTAAACTGATTGTTTTCGGAAAATATTTAATCAAAATAAATGATGAAAATGTTTCATGTTGAATCGTGTTTCTTATTAGCTGATATTGCATATTCAAGGTTCATAAAGTTATGGAATGAGAAGAAGGAAAAATTTAAATAAAACGATTATCTTGATAAATCCTTGTGATTCTATCATTTCACCTTTTCTTTTCAACATTCACCTTGTCAGTGAATTCACCTGTTTTTCATCAGCTTGACAGGTAGCCATTTGTTATCAGAAGCATTAGTAGACATTAACTTTTGTGAGGCTTCTTGCAGCTCCAATCATTAAAGTTTATTAAAATATGAAAATTATTTCATCAAATAATGGATAATCGTTTTTTGTAATGCAACCTTAAGTAATGTAAGAGCATTGACTTGGATAGTTTAAGGGAAGCAAAGTTTAAATTTATATGATTTTTCAACTTTTAATGGCACATTCAGTGTTGCCTTAATGGCCACCAATCATGAAAATTGTTGCATTAAAATCAAATTCAGCTTTACATTTTTTCAGAATCCTATTAATCCCAGAAATTTGATTAGTTAAATCACCAATTTCATGACAGTTCATTGTGCTTCAAATGATCTCAAAGATTTTGAATGAATTTTGCAAAAAAAAACATTATTTTTGACCTTTCATGATCTGATGATTTCATGATTGCAAGTGGGCTCAAAAATTTTGATTTGGCCTTCAAATAACTTTGAGGATTCGTTTACATTGTGAAAAACTTTCGAAGAGCGACATCTCAATGATCCACAGGTTTAGAGCAACACGCATGATAACTTAGGAATTAGCATGAAAATTTCTTTTGTGGTCTTCATGGAATCCTAAGGGATTTGTTGTATAACTTTCGAATGTGAGAATGAAAATTTCGACCTGATTTTAGGCGGGAATTTTCCACTTATCATAAGCTTTCGATTGATATCATTTTAATCTAAGTCTTGAACTGATTTGGCTATTTTCCTTTTAAAATGATGAGATTGCCAAAACTCAAAGTTGCTAATAAGTTTTATATTTGTTTCTGAGTATTGAAAAAATTCTGATTAACAGGGATGAAAAGTAAAATATAATACTCTTGTAATTTAGAGTTTCTACTAATATTTACAGGGAAGTAAAGTTAATCGTAATTTAACTCCGAGCCTCTCCATTGGCTCCAAGAAAGACTTGTTTTTTACTTTATCAGTGATGATGCCAATTACAGGGAAGAATCCAAAACTTGCATTCTTCACATCAGAAATTAGCAAGTGTAGAAACTCTCATCTCATAGCAAACAGAGAGTGTGCAATGCCTATTCGCAAATTTTCCAACTGAACTTTTCTGATTCAGAATTTTACGCCAATCAAGAAAATTTGCTTTTCAATATCTTCCTTTTTCAGCCAAAGTCAGAAAACAAGATTAAAATTTTAAAGGTGCGTCATATCACAAGTCGATATTAACGCTTTTCATTCACGATAATTGTTATTCTAGACATATCTTATCGATTAATTCCAATAGAAATCAGAAAACCTAGTATTCTCTGATTTACATGAAACTATTTGACATGAAAAAGATAAGCTTCAGATTCTTGTGCAGATGTTGTTTCATCATGATATCGATTTCAATGTTTCAAAAGGTTCGACCATTTTCATTCCAACAATTGAATGGTTTAAAGTTACTTTAAATTATTATCCAATCATGTTGAGCGTTAAAACTTGAGATTAATCCAAATCTATTGTCTACTTGAACAACAGAAGCCAATTGAATGAACACCAATTGAAAGGATTGTCCAACAACTGTGGAAAAAGTGATTCCATGAAATGTCCAAATTCAACTGTAAACATTGAATAGTAATAAATATGAGGAAAAATTCATTTCCAAAGTAAATACATTTTTCATTTCAAAAATGAGACAAGAATTGGTTCAACATCAATGATTGAACTTAGCACAAAACAAAATCAATTTACTCATCAATGTTTTCAATGATCATTGACACTCTGAATTTCCATTACAAAGTTAATGTTCTTGAAAACAGAACATTTTCCTGAATCAGATTTTCTCCATTCTTTTCTTCTTCAAACATTTTCTCTTCTGTTTCATCTCAAACATTAACAGCGAAAAAAAAGTTTCATCCTTTTCTGGTTTATCATTTTTTTTGCTCTTGAAACATTTTTTAATATCATTTCAACAGAAAAATGAATTTTCCTGTTCAATCTTTACCATGTTCATCCGAACAAACAAGAAGAAAAGTTTAAAAACAAAAAGTAAATTGAAAGATAATCTTGTTGCCGCCAGGCTTTTCGGTCATTTCATGTTCAATGTTAATAAAAGTCTAAGTTGACAAAAGCGTTTACTTTATCAATATTTATACTAAACTGATGCAAGTCAAATTGTGTTATAAAAAAGTTCTCAGTTGATAAATTGTTTCAAGGTGTAAACAAAATGAGAATGTTTCAACTCTTAGAATTTCATGTTTCGACGAACTCGAGTTATTAAGCAACCGACAGGCAATTAATCAAATTAACCATTTTTATCATGAAATATTTTCTCTTCACGTCGACAGTGAATGCTAATTGAAACTATTAATATTCAATCTAATGATTGGCAATTATTCATCTTGACTTTGAGTTTTAATCTTGACTCAGCAAGGAACTGAACTCTCCTAAGATCATGATATTGGTTGAGTTGGGTGTGGAATGAGTAGAAGATGAAAATATGCAAAAAATGGTTTCTTTTGATTCTTTTGGTTTGGTAGATGAAAGACAAAAAATGGTGACAAAAGGTCCATTAAGGTTGACCAAAGAGTGGCTCTTGTTGT